GCTTCGCGATCTGAACGCGCTGGTACCACCACCTTATTTCCACACTTGAAAACGTTCAAATCTTGTGTGTAACACTGTTGTTCTAGATTCTAATGCGTCAGATGAAATGGATACAAAAATCAAGTTAACGGTTCGTGTCACATGATCTCAAAATTTAGGTTAGACGAATAGAATACCAGCTTGGTGAGCTCAATCAACCTCTCTACAGCTCAACCTGCTTTGACTTTGCCGGACGTAGTGTCGTGGCCGTCACTACGTCCTTGGATTTTTCCTTCTTGTCTTTTGGTTCGTCATCATCTAGCAGGCACGAGAGCACTTCCAGTAGCTCTTCATCGGAGACGTAGTGTTCCCTGCTAGCGTCCAGCTTCAAGTCCTCGCCAATAGGGGTGACCTGCATCTCAACACCAGTAGGACTGTTGCCACCCCACGCGTACATATTGACTGGGTCGGTGTCCACGCTCGTGGGCGACTGCTCCTCTTTCTTGGCCTCGCTGGCCAGCGGGTGTCCGAAGCGGATGTGCTGGTTGCGCATGTGGCGGTTCAAGTTGCCCGTAGAGCTAAAGGTCTTGTTGCAATTCGCAAACTTGCAGCGGCGCATGGGTGTGCCCACGTGCACGCGCACGTGACGCTGTAGTTTGTGCTGCGTGGTGAACATCTTGGTGCACCCAGGTGAAGGACACGCGAGCGGTTGCAGTTCGTCGCCGTGCAGACGGCGGTGGCGCGCCAGGTTGCTGGTTGTGGTGAAGCGCTTACCACAGCCGCGTGCAGGGCATCGGTAGGCCTTCTCGCCTGTGTGCGTAGCGAGGTGCTCCTGCAACGCATAGCGACGCGAAAACTGTCGCGGGCATTCACCGCATTGGAAAGTCAAATAGGGTGCGAATGCCTTGCTTGAGGCGGAAGACGATGAGAGCGTCATGGGTTTCAGTACTTCCGACGCGAACCGCGGGGTCATGGTGGAGACGAATTGGTACACAGAGGTCGACATGCTGTTTCGGTCGGGTCTTGTCGGTCTGTGTAAGGCACTTGTGGGGTCAACGTTAAGTTGGAAAATGACGAAATGTCAGCAAAGCGGTCAGGACCATCGCACCTGCGTCCACTGCACCCTCTCTTTCGACAATTTTTCGAGCGTCATCTTCTTTGATGCTCAATTTCGGTGTTGTTGCCCTTCCAGAACCATGTCCAAAGCTGTACGACTCGGATGAGACTTGCTTGCAGTGCAAGTTGCACGGCCGATCACGAGACGGCGATCTGATGGAGCCCAGCCGTGCGCACACCATGTAGACACCGGGTGAGTCATATTCGTACTTGCATAGCGGTCTATGACAGCAATAAGAACTTGTACTTTTCCAGCACAAACAAAATCCAGCCGATCGACGTCTAAAGGCGCGAAGCGTGTCCAAAGGTTTGGTACGTGCTTTCTTTCGCATCCACCATCGTGCAGATGAGGATGCCTGATGCGCTGGTCATGACCGCCATCGTGGCAGGCACTTCAATTCAAGCTTATTCCTACAGACCTAAGGACAGTGCTCGACACGTGTAGCCATCTTTGCTCTGCGCGTGCGGATGGATATTCTCGTGCCGCGCTAGAGATTTGCACCAATGTGAAGCCTGGCGATCAGGATGGCTGTCACAACTGTGATCGTAGTGTGTTGGACATCAATCCCCGTGATACCAACCAACCACTTGACATGGCGTGCTTCAGCTTCGGTCAGCGAGCGATCGTCAGGCTACGGGTTACTTTCTCATGAGCCAACTAAACCTCATCAATACAACATTGCAGGCTGCAATGCAATTTGCAGCAGACTCGGCCACGACTATGGCGCCGGACATCAAGCACGCCATGTAGTGTGGAGGCATGCGTCACCGCGGACGCGTTCACTTGATGTCGAGAATCAGACTCGCGTGCGCTCCATGTGGAGATCTAGACAAACGTTAGCCGCTGCACTACAGCAGCACGGAAAGCAACAACAAACAGTAGAGTTTTGGTTTAGGTTCATTCATTTTTATCGTTTTTTTCCAAGTCTGCAGTCCACCGCCACCCATGATAACACTCGTCTACCGTCAGCCCTCTTCCGATTCCCGAGAGCCACAGCCTACATCACAAAAGTGTCATCCGTCTGTTCGTCCAACCAGTCATCCTGATAACTCGGTCCATGTTGGCTGTGTATGGGCGAGCGAACAACTACAAAGACACAGGACTGAGCAAATTACTGGTCGGCCTTCTTCTCCTTGGGCGCCTTGATCGTGTAAGCAGCAGCACCCAGAGTGATGAGGCCCGAGGCAGCGAAGATAGCGTAACAGCTCGTGGGTCCGTCCGCGTTGTTGATGAGCTCAGGCTTGTACGTCCAGAGGCTGTGACGGGCTCCGCAGAGCACGTGGTAGCTGACGGGGAAGGCCACGAGGGCCTTGGAGATCGGAGCGAAGAACGGGATGGAATCCTGCGCCATGTAAATGAGAGCGGGCACATCGGCTCCAACGAAGCCCAGCGCGCTACCGCCCACGAAGGCGGCGGACATGCCCATCGCACAGAAGCGGTTCGCCACCGACGAGATGGCCGTCACGGGGAACTTGTAGATTTCCACATGGGGCGAGATAGGGCGACCCAGCGCCGTCTGTGTGGCCGAGTAGTTATCGGTGCTGACAGCGCGTGCAAACGTAGGTGCCACGGCGCGCGAGGCCTTCTTGCTCAGAACCTGTAGACTCATGCTCA